AGATGAGTTTGTCCTTTGCGTTGCCCTTCTCATTGTTCATTTATTATATTTACTATTGCTTTTTCTGAAATTTTATGATTGAGCTAGATGGTAACATACTGACATAACTAACAGCTAGGAAGTTAATACAAAAAAGGGGTTTATGGAACTTGAAAGATAAAGCAGTGAAATAGGTGATAGTTTTATTTGGCGTCTTGGCGGGGACTCCGAATATCCGCGGGGACCTATTATTCCCCGCGGAGATGGGGACGGAGGCAATTTTTGACCCTTCGCCAAAAATCCCCGCGGGGATCCCCGTACCCGCCATTGACGGGGATGGGGATGGGGATGGGGAGGGGGTCCCCGCCCCCGTGGGGACCCGTTGCCATCCTTAGCTGAGATTAAGGGCAATTACATGGCCTGTGACATTATCACAACTAACCCCATCCCAGGAACAACAGTCTATACCTCCCTTCCATGACTCAATCTTAGAATAATTTTCCCCACAAGAATCTGGATTCGGAACAGTGTAATTGATGGAGAAGGATGTCTTGAATTGCAGCAAAGCAAGAGCCTCCTCATGAGAGCAAAGATGCGTTGTTGAGAAGGAAGAAGCATGTATAGAGGATGAGAAGGCAGTCTTAAGACAGAGGAAGACAAAAAGGAGGCAGAGTGGTGCAGAGAGCTTTGCAAAGATCCTCATATCTTTGTTTGGCGCAATGGAGTACTCTAGAAGAGTATATATAGAGTATTTAAAATTGAGGGATGCTGATAATTTGAATATATTCCATCAAAATAAAAATGAATGAATATAGACTGTAATATTGACGCATGGTGGATGTCATTTTTTAATTTATTTTTTGACTTTTTTTACTTATTATTTTGAAATTTAAATAAATGACTTAATTTAAAAGTTTTTTTACTTTATAAGATTCAAATTAAATTTAAATAGGTTAAATGCTAAATTTGGTCCCTCAACTTTAGTGAGTTGCACATTTTTGGTCCTTTAACAATTTTTTGCACTTTTTTGATCCCTCAACTTTAAGAAATGCACTCCGTTAGTCCTTCTGTTAATTTCGATCGTTAATTCGCTTATGTGGCATTTTTTATTATTTTTTGATGACGTGGCAAAAATAAATTAAAAACGTGTTGATGTGGATTTTTTTTTTCATGATGTGGGTTTTTTTTTTATGCCAACTCACATTATTTATATTTAAAAATAAAAAATAAAAGACTTCCGTCTTCTTCCTTTCTCTTTTTCTTCCTCTTCTTTCTTCCTCAGCAGGCCATTGAACCCAGTTTGCTGGATTCGACGGAACCCCGCCTGGGTTCCATCGAACCCTCGAACCCCGCCTGGGTTCCATCAAACCCAGATCTGCTGGGTTCGCTGGAACCTAGGCTATCTGGGTTCGACGGAACCCAGCTCCAATTTTTTTTTTTTTTGTTTATATGATTGTTTGTGAGATTATCCAAATTGCAGGTTATTGTTAGTTATTTTTGGGCAACTGGTTTTTTGTTTTTGTTATATGATTGCTTGCCAAAAGATTATTCAAATTGCAGGTTGTTGTGGATTTTTGGGCAACTGCAGGTTGTTGTTTTTGAGGGATTTTTGGGTAATTGCAGGTTGTTGTGAGGAATTTTTGGGCAATTGAGTGTGAATCGAGCTGGGTTCGATGGAACCTATTTGCTGGGTTACATCGAACCCAAATCTGCTGGGTTCTGTCAAACATGGAAGGAAGAAAAACAGTAACTGATGGGCAAAGATGGTGATGTGGGACCCATTTGAATGTATTTGGCGCGATTTTGCCAGATAGCATGTGACATGAATGCATGTCATCACTTTTTTAAGTTGTGCTCTCCACATTATCAAAAAAAATATAAAAAATGCCACCTCAGCAGGGTTAACGGCTTAAATTAACAGAAAGACTAACGGAGTGCATTTTGTATAGTTGAGGGATCAAAAAAGTGCAAAAAATTGTTGAGGGACCAAAAATGTTCATTTCTTAAAGTTAAGGGACCAAATTAAGCATTTAACCATTTAAATAAGATTTTTTAATTTTGTTTATCTTATTAATTAAGTAATAATTTTATTTTGAATTCATTTAGTTTTCAATTTTTAATTAATAATAAAAGGTAAATAAATAATCATTATTTTAATTTTTTTATAAAAATATTGAAATCTCTAAAAAAATCACAATTTAAAATTAAATTTTAAAAAAATATATTAAAATTGATAAACAAAATAGTTA